ATAGAACGTAGATATATCTTCCATATAAAAATGTAACTATATTTGCACTTGTTACTTAAATTAATGGAATACGTTATAACGTGCAACTCGAACTATTCAACGCTAGAAAAATTAGGTTAGGTTCGTATAAAATGTATATTTGAATTAATTCGAAACGCAAGAACCCGTAACGATAGCAACACCTCACCGACAACTAAAAATAGGAAATACCATTTCACACAGAAACAATCAACCTACTCTACCCATCCTGACCCACAGAAACTTCTCATTCTCTCAGCCATTATCATTCCACTAGAACGGAAGTACTCAGAACGTAACTGTATTCTACCGATTCAACCTAACCTAACCTGTTATTGTGTTATACGCAAATATACCCACTAAACTAACCCTCAATTAGAAGAACGCTCCGTGCGGCAAGAAATAAACGAGCTAATGGTTTCCACCGTTCCACCATGAAGAGGCCCTGTTGACGGATTTACAACGTGATTGTCGCGATTCTAGCGAGCCGGAGGTGGCACACGGGACCTGATCGGGAAGCATCTCGTCGAGGTCATCGACGAGGACCCCGGGAACGAGGTCGCGTCGGGATTAGCGTTCCTGTTCGCCTACTAAAGCTATACCGTGCGCCACTTCGCCCGCTAGAATGCTGCGCGCGCACCATTTCCACGAGCTGCGCGCGCCTCTCGTGGGAAATCGTTGTTAAAGGGGGACCGAATCCATTTCAACGCGGTTCTTGCCATCCTTTACGACCCTCTGTTTACGCTAACTGCCTCCGTTCGCGACTAATAGGAACATGTTGGAGAAACGATTATTCGTTGCTTTCCTTATGAGTCTCTCGGTCTGATTTCCTTCTTTTTTCGGTTTAATTGGCAGAGATATAAAAGAGGAATTTGGTAGCGAGGTTACGGATGGTTGCAAATGATAAAGTGAATGGATCTGGACGACGGACAACGTGAAATGGATAGATAAATCCCTAGATTTGAAATTTGTTTACATACAATAAAAGTCGAGGTTATTATGATAACTAAACGGTACTGGAATGTAATTTTATTGAAGTATGAATACCGAGAAAAAATTTATTCAATTATATCTAGAACTCTCTTAAGATTAAAAAAGTCTAAATTTACATTCCACAATTTTTATCACTTCGTTTTGTGTTAGATCGAAATATGCTAGTCACATATGCTAATAAAGTAAAATAAACTAGGATGTTTTTTAACAAAGCAAGGGAAATTAATAAATACATGAGAACTAAACTAGAAGGCAGTAAAAACATAATAAGTAGGTTGCACTTGTAACGTGCAAAAAGGAACGAAAATGGAAAGTTACATGTGTTGTTATTAACTGTTATCAAAAAAAGAGGCGCAGCGATAGTGAAGGACTCCACGAAAGTGAAATCAGCTCGAACGATCATCGAGCCGACGTGGTCGAGATCAATTTAACAGCAGCACAGACACCATAATTCCTTTACGGTCTACATCTTATTAAGTGCGACCGATATCTTTAAAAAACCTTGAAAACAATCAACATTCCTAGTGGCTTTGCCACACACACCACCCGCTCCGCATCGGCCGTTCCACGTAAAAAGTGGTTCAGCCAGATCGAGGTTAAATAATCGCGCTATGTAAGAATCGTGGAACGTGGTGAACGAGTAACGCTAGAAACACGGTTCAGAACAGGAGAAATCAACAGACCTGGGACTCCCTGGATGCACGTTGATTTCATGTTCCAAAAAACTCTACCAAAACAAAATAAAATTCAAATAATAGAAGTGTTTTTTAAGCTTCAATATTTAAAAAAATGTATTAAGGTTCATCTGTGGCATACTAACACTCAAGGACGAAGAGCAACACTTTGCATTCCACAGTTTTTATGACTTCATTACATGCTAGAGAAAAGGCGGGAGAAACCAAGGGAGTCTCAACGTATTAGCATGCAATGCACGCATGCTAGACAGAAATTAATGCGTCTACAAAGTTTACCGCACGCTTCAATGACTGCTACTTGCACGGTGGCTTTTGTCGTGAAGGCATTAGGCTACAGTTTCCTTGGTTACACAATCGTCGAACTAGTTCTATTTAGGTACTTCAAAATGAAACATGTAGGTGAAAATTGTGAAATTTTAAGCATATTAGATTCCAGTTATTTTCTCATAAAACTCAAGGTCTGAAAACTTAACAGAGAAAAGGTGTTCAGATATCGATGCAGTAGATCGTTTAGTGTATCAAAGGCCACCGAACAAAGGTTCAAGACGACGATCTCATTTGCTAGTAAATTATCCGTTAAAAACGTACCATAACCTACTGTTCGTTTAGTAATCATTACTTACGTAAAGAATTGTTACGTACCCGTACTATGTAATACAGCCTTCAACACTATGCAACATTTGTATACGGCAATTTTTTATAGAACACAGTTCAGAAATAAATCAAATGTCTACCCGTATTTATCCTTCGATTCCACCTGCCATTTGTAACCCCGAACTACGCATGCGTCTCAAGGCCGCGCATGCGCACGCATAAACAAGCTCGGTATTGCGTGACAAACAGAATGCTCAGAAGCTGACCCCGCAATCTCCGTATCGAAATCACGTTCATCGAGCGGCCTCGATGAGTGCCACGTGGCTAATTAGTATGCCGATGGTTCACCAAGCGGACGCAAATTTAATTACCGCGACATTAGCGATTATTGCGAAGACAGGAGGTGAATCGTGTGCCCCGATGAATTCCTAATACGCAACATTATCGACGCCGCTGTTGGCGATCCTAGATAGAGGCGTAAAGCGTTAGCGCAGCAATATCCAACTAATTGGACGTTATTGAGATCGTTAGTCGTTTTTCATCGATTTCGACGAGTTTCATCGGATCAGCGGAATGGCCTGTCACGCGTACGCTCGCGTGTTTAATTCATACCGCACATAAATAACGAACAAAGGCCGTTCCGGGAGATTGAAGCGGTAATTGGTGATTTATTTTCATGATAAATTTCTATCCGCGTGGAATGCGGAGGAAAGGGGGTTAGGAGAATTTATCTAATTACGCTTAACGTCCGGTGGTAAGAAGAAGAACACGATCGCGGCGTGATAGGATTATAATCGTCGAAGAAGCACCGAAAGTGCATTTAATACGCGCGTAATTATAAGTTACGAATGCCAGATGGCGTGACAGCACGTACGTATTTCCGAGTAATAAAGCCGTAGATCAGTAATAGGACGCGTGTGTACGCGCGCGCGCGCATTCGTGCACGATTATACTGTGGAGATTTTAAGAGCCCGACATTCTCACGAATCGTTATCTTTCGACGGTTTCAGGCGACTCTCGGCGTGCTACTGTCGCTTTTCTCACGAGTGACGACCGTAAGGGAGAACAATGACTATAGGAATGACGGGCAATGTGTCTTCGTGATTCGGTGACACGACCGAATTGAACGAAATTCGACATCCTTAAGATATGAAAGTTAGATAAAAGTGTGAAAACATAAAGATTTCACGCCATACTGTTTTACTTTACCTTTGTATCGAAAAAACATAAATCACCTTATTATAGTATATAACCAGAGTCAAATACTTCTCACTTGATATACAGACACGCTGATAATAAGCCACATAAATATCTACAATACCGACAATACGAACTACCCAACAAACCTAACCTAAATGTAAATTCCATTCTAACCTTAGAGAAAAAGATACACAATCTATCATTACTTAAATACAGCAGACATATAAAATATGATATACCTAACGAGCTGATTTCCAGACTTAAAAACGATACATTAAACCTGCACAAGGCAACGATATATACGAACGACTCGCGCTCAATTAAACCACCTCGCAATTCGACTCTGACGTTTCCCTGTGGCGACTCGAGGCTGCAGCGAGCACGAGGAATGACAGCAGGTGCTTCGGGGATCCATGGGGTCTTCAAGTGACTGTGGTAGGGATAGAGGCGGTCGGTGGAGGGGAAAGAATTGCCGGAAGTGCAAGTGGCGTCTTGCCGTGGCGGGTCAAAGATCGCGCAGCGGTGCTGACCCACTGCTTCGAGGGCTGTAAACGCTGTAAACGCTCGGTATATACCGACGGTACGGATCATCGCGCGAACCGAAGCAACGGTAATTTTACGGACGATCACGAGCATAAATTAATATCGGCCGGTTATCTGATCGTTACCCGCGAGCCCGGTCACGTATGAATTTAACCCCTCCGATCAGATTCGATCGATAACTGTTACGGTAAGTATGAATATAAATTGCGAACCGACGGAACCGAGCTATCCGTTTTATTATAATAGGGATGCACAACCACGAAAATGGATAGAAAGTCTCATTATGCTTAACGGTGTTTATAATGTCTTATCGAAATAGACGGTTTTGGGCTGCAAGAATGTTGAATAGGCTCTTTAGATATTTCTTTTTTTTTTTTTTCTCTGACTCAAAAGAGTATTTCGTGGAATAAAAAGCAATTCTTTTTAAAATAAGGTTATTTCTCATAATTGTATGGAGTTATCAAAAAGTATTATGTATGACCTCATTTTCATGAGTGAAGGATTCTTAGTGCTGATTCTAATTTCAGTATTGTTTGTAAAACAAACGGAATAGTAATTTTGAATATAAATTGCAAAATGCAGATTGTATATTTTTATTCACATCAAACATTTCGTTTAAAAGAAACAACTGTATTGAAAACATGGTTATAAGAGAATGAAAATACATTTATATAGCCACAGTGAGAATGTTAAAAAAAAAAAATAAAACGCAATTTATAATTACTCCAATAAAGCTGTCCTTTTAAGTAACAGATTGGAATGCAACATGTTGCAGCTGCAACGTTGCATCGCGATAATGGCGATTATTTTCCAGAACTTTTACAACAATATCTATCCGGTTTAATCAAGACACATACCGTGTGCGAGAACCTCGAAAGAACACAACCAC